TAGAACCCTTTTACACATGAATTTTACTGTGAATTGTGTAGCTTCACACAATTGTATGATCAGAATAGAATTCCTCCCCACAGTGGTAGACTACAGGCCAAAATTTGGTGACACCCCCAGTCCTTGGGCAAGGAGGTACCCAGCTTTTGCAAGGAGGCATGAGGCTCTTGCAGAGTCCTAAAGCCCTCCCACCTCCTTCCCAAAGCCAGAAACACATTTGACTAGGCTTTGGGAAGAAGGCAAAGGACTCTAGGACTCTGTCAGGGCCTCTTGTCTCCTTCCCAAAGCCCAGCCCTGTTCAGTGCTTAAAGGGACCCCTGACCATTAGGTCCAGTCGTGGCCGACTCTGGGGTTGCGGCGCTCATCTCGCTTTACTGGCCAAGGGAGCCGGCGTACAGCTTCTGGGTCATGTGGCCAGCATGACTAAGCCGCTTCTGGCGAACCAGAGCAGTGCACGGAAACACCGTTTACCTTCCCGCCAGAGCGGTACCTATTTATTTACATGCACTTTGACATGCTTTCGAACTGCTAGGTTGGCAGGATTCACTGCTTGCACAGCCCTAAATCTTCCCTGTGCCCCATTCCTACTTGCAACTCCCTCATAGTTCTAAATAGCTTTCAACAGTTTGATGATGGTTTATTTAGAGATTGCAATAAAACACCTATTTTAAAACAATTTTTATAAGATAAGTATTTAAATAGATGCTTAGATACAATTTTTCATGTGGTATTTTCTTTAATGCAGATTAATGCAAAAATGGGGTAGAACAGATGAACGAACATGTGCATTTGTTATGGACCAGAAATCAAATGATCCTTCCATCCCTATTAGATGCAGCCCTGATGATAACGACTTATGTGAAAAGTCATGGCTATTTTACTCTGGAAATAAGCTAACCACAGGTGTGAGAATTCATTCTGCACCTTCCTGTTTCAGGCGCAGTTCATTGTTGCACATGCCAAATGTGCTAGATTGCCCCTGCCTGTGCCATGACAAGTGACAGATCATGAAGTCATCATGAATTCTCGCAACACGTTGCTTCAAGTATGTGTGTCAGCAATAGCAAATTGTTCGCACCGGATTCTGGGCTCCTCGTTGTGGCTTGGAAGACAGCTGAAAGGTGGGAGGGTGGAAGAATGCAGGTGTTTCCACCTTGTCGGTGACATAAAGGAGATCATTAAAGAAGGTGACAAGCTTCTACTCTGAGCTGTGTAATCTCATTATCTACTGCGGTGGAGGGCGGTGTGCCTGTGAAACAAGATTTCATGGCTGTAGATTGTACAATAAATATTAATGCATCAGTAAATAGATCTGCGGATTTCAGATGAATCGGGCATCTGCAAGTTCTGACCTAACAAGACAAACACAGGTTGCCAAGCATGTATGGTGACCCACCAGAGACTTGATTGATGCTTTGGGGCTCTTGTCACCCAGAAGGTCTGTAAAAAACCACATAATTACTGGAGGTTGAAAGGGGGGAGCAATGACCCGACCATTTGGCTGCCTGACCATATTCACTGACTCCCAGTATGTTTCTCAGCACAATTTAAAGTGTTAGTGCTGATCTTTAAAGCCCTAAACAGCCTTGGCCCGGTATACCTGAAGGAGCGTCTCCACTCCCATCGCTTAGCCCAGACACTGAGGTCCTCCTCCGAGGGTCTTCCGCTGGTTGCCTAACTGCGAGAAGCAAAGTTACAGAGAACCAGGCAGAGGGCCTTCTAGGTAGTGGTGCCCTCCCTGTGGAACACCCTCCCATCAGATGTCGAGGAGATAAAGAACTACACAACTTTTAGAGGACAGCTGAAGGCAGTCTTGTATCAGGAGGTTTTTAATGCTTGATGTTTTTATTATATTTTTAGATAGGCTGTAAGCCACCCAGAGTGGCTGGGGAAACTCAACCAGATGGGCGGATAACAACAACAACAACAACAACAACAACAACAACCAAGTTAACATTGGGATATTATTCCATTCTCCTTCATGCCTCTGAATAGTAATTGTGGAAGACACAGGCTCTGAGTTGTGCCTGACATCTCCTCTCTTGTGGTTTCCATATCTGGCATTCACAAGCATTAATTTCCATGAAGGCAGAGCACAGCCACCCATTTGCTAAGCTGTTTGAAGGAATGGAATGTGAACACTTGGGAAAGATGTTCACAGCAATGTTCAGGCAGGGCCTTTTCAGCACCTGCACTGCTGAGTTCAGGGAGGAGGAGGAGGAGCCGGCACTTGCAGCTGGTGCTAGCGCTTGCAGTGGTGCCACGCTCTCTCATGAGTCAGCTGGCCCCTTGAGAGTGTGTCACCGGAAGACATGTGTCCCGATTTTCGCCAGGGGAATGTTGGGGGGTATGTAATTAGTAGAGCCAGATCTTCTTAAGTTCTTATGTAAGCCAGGTGAGTGCTGAAGGGAGGAGTGGGAGTTACAGTAGAAGTTTTGTTATTCTTTTGTTATGGATCACTATTTTATGGAATGTAGGCTGATGAGTATACAAAGTGGAATAATGCAGCGAGTCACAGATCCTGTTCTGTTCCAGAAATCTTCTGCAAAACACAAAACACCTTGCCTGACATTTGGGCCCAGCAAGCTTTGCTTAAATCCAGGCTGGACCACGGCCACTGTGTCCCTTGGCGCCTTTATGCTTACATTGGATTTTAAAGGAAAGTCCATTCCAAAAGCTAGACTTAGGCACTATTGACACAGGGAAGTGCCAGCTAATGGGCTGGCAGCAGGATTGCTGGTTTATCTAAGGACCTGCTCTGTGGAGTACTTTGTGTAACAGTTAATCCAGCCCTGCTGTTGGACGACTCATCTCAGCACTTATCCCAGGAAGGGCTTGTGCAGTTCATATCGTTGACTGAGAACCAAAGCTTTCCACGGACTGATGTTTCCAAATAAAAGGAAGCAAGTTCCCCAACCCTCACATTCTTAGAACCTGCTGCCCCAAAATCAAGCTCGATTTGTCTGTCTGTTCCAGGAGTTGTAAAATTAGTATGCGCGCGACTCTTCCCATCATGTGCTCAGCGCCATTATAAAGAGCCATGCTGTTCGCGTGGCATTGGACTCATTTCAGCGTTGGGTACTTGCTTTTTTGCTCTGCTGCCAGGAATTTCAATTGGGTATCACAGCTCTTATTGATCCAGAGGAAGATGTTTGTTTGTACGGAAAGTTGAATGCATTATGTTCCACCTTGTAACACTACAAAGCAATATCGCAGGAAAAGAAAACGGTCGCTGCAGAAGCCGATAAGATAGTCGCAGAAGTATCATTTCATGGTTTTCACAGTGTGGGGGATGGAATGCCCTGAACGAAAGGTTTTACAGCCTGTTCACATTTAGGGTGGTCTCTACAGGGGTAAAACCTCAGTTCCTAGGAATTGCCGATCGCATGGTCGGCGGTTCGAATCCCCGCGGCGGGGTGAGCTCCCGTCGTTCAGGTCCCAGCTCCTGCCCACCTAGCAGTTTGAAAGCACCCTTAAGTGCAAGTAGATAAATAGGTACCGCTTTATAGCGGGAAGGTAAACGGCGTTTCCGTGTGCTGCTCTGGTGTCGGTTCGCCGGAGAAGCTTCGTCACGCTGGCCACGTGACCCAGAAGTGTCTGCGGACAGCGCTGGCTCCCGGCCTCTAGAGTGAGATGAGCGCCCTAGAGTCTGTCAAGACTGGCCCGTACGGGCAGGGGTACCTTTACCTTTACCTTTACCTACAGGGTTAAAGAAACAACTTTAATCAATAGGCCCAGGCCAAATACACAATGTCCCGATCATACCATTTCCTGTCTCCACTAATGTAAATAGGAATAAAGACAGGCGGCAGCCTTGAAAATGCCGGGTATGGTGGGATAAGGAAAGAACAACCCACAACTTAACACCCATTGGCAGAAGAGGGTCTCTTGTGGTGGATAGGTTGTTGTCTGCCTTTGCCCACTCCATGTGTTTCTATTTCTCTATTAATTTCAGTAGAGATGTCCAGGGCGCCATTTTGGAATTCTATACATTAAAATTAAAGAGCAGGGTGATAATGAGCACTCACACTTTACATTGTTGGTGCCCTTTGCGGGATCGCGCATGGTGCTGCAGTTCCCAGGGAGCTTACTGGCAAACAGGGGATGGCTTGCCTCCCAGCCTCAGTAATTACCGTATTTTTCGCTCTATAAGACGCACTTTTTCCCTCCTAAAAAGTAAAGGGAAATGTGTATGTGTGCGTCTTATGGAGCGAATGCAGTCTGTGCAGCTATCTCGGAAGCCAGAACAGCAAGAGGGATTGCTGCACAGCGCTCCCTCTTGCTGTTCTAGTTTCCGGCTTAGCCGCGCGAAGCCTCCTCAGGGCAATGGGAGGAACACTCCCCCCATAGCTGTCAACTTACAGATTTGAAAATAAGGGACGAGCAGCCTCGAAAATAAGGGATCAGCAGCCAAAATAAGGGATTTTCCAAACACAGATATGCTCAGGGTCTGAGCCCCTCCAAGCCAAAGGCAGAAAGCCCAGCCAGCAGCCAAATGAAGCCTCAAGCGGTGGTTCCCACAGCACAGCAACCCAGCAAAGGGGGTGCAGCAAGGGAAACCGCCGTCACCTCTCTGCTGGGAAGCGCTGAGCAAGGGCGAGTCCCCAGGCAACGTGGCCGATTTGATCGGCACAAGGCATGCAAGCTCCACCCCCCCCAGTCTTTCTTAGACTCCTTATTGGGTGAGCAACGCAGCTAAGCAACACAGTTGGAGCCTCCCTCCTCCCTGGCCGGCAGGGAGGGAGGGAGAGGAGCTGCTTCCTTTGAAACCTGGGAAATTTAAGGGACATCATCAATAAGGGACAGCAGCGGGACACAGCGCTGGGATAAGGGACTTTCCCACCAAATAAGGGACGTTTGACAGCTATGGCTCCCCCTGCCCTGAAGAGGCTTGGCATGGCTATCCCAGAAGCCAGAACAGCAAGAGGGATCACTTCTTTTGCTGCGCAGCGATCCATCTTGCTGTTCTGACCGCTTCGCTGGAGAGGTGCTGCGCAGCTTTCCCCCTCCGCGCAGCGCCCCTTTAGCAAAGCGGGAGGAGAAACAGAGCCCCTTCCATTTCTCCTCCTGCTTTGCTGGAGAGGCGTTGCGCAGAGAGGGAGAGAATATTTTTTTCCTTGTTCTCCTCCTCTAAAACTAGGTGTGTCTTATATTCGGGTGCGCCTTATAGAGCGAAAAATACAGTAAGTTTCTTGCTGGGAGGTGGGGCCAGCCCTATTTATAAGTAGGGGGTGGAGCCGACAATAGCCAGGCAGTCAGCTCAGGGGATTCAACCTCCCTACCCTCCCTTTGTTTAATGTTTCTTGTTTGCAGGTTAACTTTTTCTTCCTGTTTAGGGGCGCTGCTACGGTCTTTGACTGGTTGCTGTTGAAGGACCGGGAAGAAATTTTCCTGCATTTGCAGGTTTTGTCTTCCCCGTAGCAATTCATCACAACTTTGGTGGTTATTGCCTTGGGTGGAATCCTTTAGTCTTTTCTTCCCTATATGGGGGGGGGGTGAAGTGGTGAGACACCCCCCTGTGGCGGCAATTCCAGGGTCCCCCTCTTAAAGAGGTTATATATATGGGTGTCACTGGCCATACACTGAAAGGTCGTCAGTGAACTTCCCTGCGTGTGAGGATATGGGCTTGGCTGCCTGCTACACTTAGGCCTCACAGAGCACCCACATATCCCATTTACCCTGATGAGCCCCAGTTCTCCCCAGCTAGGGGGCTGGGAGGGAAACACGCCCAAGGCCTAAGCCAAGGTCTTCCTGCCTTCAGAAGTTTAATAAAGTTGTGGCCTAATTTTAATTCCATATAACGTTGTCAGAGTCTTTATTCCTTCCTTATGATCCCTGGGGGCTGGGGCTGTCACCGCCTGGTCACGCAAAACAGAGAGTCAGAGTTGTGTCAGACTGTCGCAATAGGAGCTGGGAGACCAGAGTTCAAATTCGGACTCATCCATGAAACTCAAACCAGGGGACCAGGGACCAATCACTGTCTCTCAGCCTAACCTAAATCACAGGCTGGTTGTGAGGGTGAAAGGGAGAAGCAGGAAACCATGTTCGGTATCTTGAGCTCCTTGGAAGAAAAGTAGAATATAAATGTAACAACAACAATACTCAGGCACACTTAGCTAGATAGCTCAGTTTGTTAGAGAGTAGTGCTGACAATGCCATGGTTGCAGGTTCAATCCCCGAGACAGCTGCATATTCCTGCATTGCAGGGGGTGGGACTAGATGACCCTCGGGGTCCCTTCCAACTCTGAGATATTTATGAGATATAGCCATTCAATGAAAAAATGTATTGAAAGTAAGTTTCTGGAATATGACTTACAAAAAATGTATGCCAATAGATTGTGGTGTGTGCATGTAGCAACCTCTGACATTGTTCTGCCCACTTTTACATCAGAGTCTGCCCCCATCCCAAAATGTCCCCTGGAAGTTTGCAGGGGATGGGGGGGAAGGTGGCCTTCTGGCTAAAAAAAGTATTCCCATTCCTTATGGAAAAGGTAGTTGGACCCTCTCAGAAATATCATAGCTGCCAAAACACATGCGGGGACATATGTGCATGGGAAATATCATGCAACAAGTTTTTTTTCCCTCCCCCCCCCATAGTCCTGTTCTGTGGACATGGGTGGAGCTGTAGTCTAAATCACTGAGCCTCTTGGGTTTGCCAATTGGAAGGTTGGTGGTTCAAATCCCCGCGATGGGGTGAGCTCCCGTTGTTCAGTCCCAGCTCCAGCGGGAAGGTAAATGGCATTTCTGTGTGCTGCTCTGGTTTTGCCAGAAGCAGCTTAGTCTTGTGTTTCCTTGCTCTCTGGTTTCTGTCATGGTGTTTCGTTGCACCAGAAGCGGTTTCATCATGCTGGCCACATGACCCAGTAAGCTGTCTGCAGACAAACGCCGGCTCTCTTGGCCTGAGAGCGAGATGAGTGCTGCAACCCCAAAGTCGCCTTTGACTGGACTTAACCATCCAGGGGTCCTTTACTTTTACCTTTTATACCTGTTCTATATCCTTTATCCTATACCCAAACCACCAGAGCAGATTTAGGAATCAAGAGGGTGGGAGAAGGGGAAAGTCATCTTGCATGAGTTGACCCTGTTCTGTGCATGCAGCAGCTTAGCTGGATCTATTGTGGTTTTATATCTAAATTGATCATTAGCAGTAACTAATTTCCACCGAGGAAAAGTCACAGTCGGTGGGCAAGTGCAGAAATGCTCTCGCTGCGAGCATCTGAACTGAGATGCACCATTTTGCAAACTGCCGGTGAAACTTGTACAAAAACAATAATCCTGGGAAATGTAATTATCAGTCCCGAGGAACAGCATAAGCAGAGCACACACACCAACCCACGCGCAGAGAAAAAAGAACAACCACCGGTTTGTGAAACTCAGCGGTGCAGCAAATATGTCTGGCAGCCGTGTGCCATTGATTCAAAACAAACCACATTGTAAAACATGCCTGACTTTTCTTCCCTTCTCGTTTTTTAAAGAACAGGATGGGTTGCACCCGTACCCTGCAGAATGGAATGATCTATCAAGTGTCCCTGCCTTCAGAAGTTGGAAGATCATCCGAGGCGATCTCCAGGGAAACCTCTCATTTGCCTACTGTGGGTTGGGGGGGTGCATGTTAGTAGTACAGTCATACCTCAGGTTGAATGTGCTTCAGGTTGAGCGCTTTCAGGTTGCGCTCCGCGGCAACCCAGAAGTAACGGAGCACATTACTTCCGGGTTTCGCCACTCGCACATGCGCAGACACTCAAAATGACATCACACGCATGCGCAGAAGCGGCAAAACGCAACCCACGCATGTGCAGATGCGCAGTCGCGTCTTACGTTCCATTCAGGATGCGAACAGGGCTCCAGAACAGATCCGGTTCGCATCCCGAGGTACCACTGTACTTCTGGGGTGTAGGAAATTCTGTTGAGTGTGCAATAAAGTTGTTATGGTTGGAGGAGAGGATTTTCTTTTAAGAGGTGTCTCAGGAAACCACCACCTGTTTCTGTAGGTTAATAATCATAATCATGATTTTCATAGAATCGTAGAGTTGGAAGGGTCCCAAGAGTCATTTAGTCCCGCCCCCCCCCCCCCCCGCAATGCAGGAATCTCAGCTAAAGCATCCATGGCAGATGACCATCCAACCTCTGCTTAAACACCTCCAAGGAAGGAGAGTCCACAACCTCCCGAGGGAGACGGTTCCACTGCTGAACAGCTCTGACTCTCACTCAGAAAGTTTTTGCAAATGTTTAGGGGGAATCTCCTTTCTTGCAACTAGAAGCCATAGGTTTGGGCCCTACCCTCCAGAGCAAGCTTGCTCCATCCTCTATGTGACAGCCCTTAAGACATTTGAAGATGGCTTTCATATCTCCTCTCAGTCTCCTGTTCTCCAGGCCAAACATACCTAGGTCCTTCAACCACGCCTCATAAGGCTTGGGTTCCAGATCCTTCATAATTTTAGCCCTCCTCAACACGTTCCAGCTTTTCAACATCCTTCTTAAATTGTGGTGCCCAGAACTCCACACAGTATTCCAGGTGTGGTCTGACCAAGGCAAAATAGAGTAATACTATTACTTCCCTTGATCTGAACACTATACTTCTGTTGAAGTACAGTGGTACCTCGGTTTCAGAACAGTCTGGTTTAAGAATGATTTGGTTAACAAACTCCGCAAAACCGGAAATCGTGTCTTGGTTTGAGAACTTTACCTCGGTCTAAGAACAGAATCTGAATGGTGGAAGGGCACTGGCAGCAGGAGGCCTCATTAGGGAAAGCACACCTCAGTTTAAGAACGGTTTTGGTTTAAGAATGGACTTCCGGAACGGGTTAAGTTCATAAACCGAGGTACCACTGTATCGGGGTTTTATTATTTGTATCCCACCCTCTGACTGGGTTGCCCCAGCTGAAAGAGAAGTGATTAAACTGCTACGAGCCGTAATAGCAATGCTCTGCCTTCTTGGCCAGAGACAGCAATGCTTCTGAATGCCAGTTGCTGGAAAGCATAGGAGGGGCAAATGTTCTTGTATTTGGGTCCTGCTTGTTGGCTTTTCCTGGGCATCTGGTTGGCTGCTGTGAGAACAGGATGTTCATTGGCCTGTTCCAGCAGAGATCTACTTGTGTCCTTGTGTTCTTAGAGAGATTTCACATACATTTGATTCCATACATTCTCGTGAAACTGCCTTTAAAAGAGGGGAGACAAATTCACGGAGGAAAAGGCTATCAATGGCTACAGTGGTGCCCTCTGGATTTTGCAGGACTACAACTCCCATCTGTCACAATCAGCATAGTCAATGGTAAGAGATTATTATTTATTATTACAGTGGTACCTCGGGCTACAGACACTTCAGGTTACAGGCGCTTCAGGTTACAGACTCCACTAACCCAGAAATATTACCTCAGGTTAAGAACTTTGTTTCAGGATGAGAACAGAAATCATGCTCCGGTGGCGCGGCGGCAGCAGGAGGCCCCATTAGCTAAAGTGGTACCTCAGGTTAAGAACAGTTTCAGGTTAAGAACGGACCTCCAGAACGAATTAAGTTCTTAACCCGAGGTACCACTGTAATTGAATTTATATACCGCCCTATACCCGCAGGTCTCAGGGCGGTTCACAGAATAAAATCAGAATATAAAACCGCAAAATACATAATCAAAACAACAACAACAACAACCCAATAACGCCCCCCCACAAAGTTTTTAGTCCCAAGACTCTGAAGATTACCAGGTTAGGGAAGGAAGGAGAGCCCGCATGAATACTTTGGTGTCAGGAGCTGTTGAGAGTCAACCAGATAGCCTTGGGGTCTTTGTGTGGCTGTTCAGCACAGTAGACCACTGAACCATCAGTAGCAGCATCTATTTGCCCCCAGGAGTGAGATGAGTTTCCCAGTGCACACATCAAAGGACTGGACATGCTGCTTGGATGGCCAGCTGCCCGAAAGCTCTGTGTTTAGTCCCATGATAATCGTGCCAGGAGATTCCTTGCCCCCCAGACCTAGACTGATGCTGTAACCTGCAGTTTCATGGTTCATCACCCGGGGCGGATACAGATTCCTGCACTGTCAGTTCAAGTCTTGGCAGCTCCAGACTTTTGGTCATTTATGGAGACCATCCTCTGAGTTTTGGCAGA